TTTTAATTATTATATATATAACATATATATTCTTGTCTCTGAGCTATTGTAATTCATAGCCGTCTATTCATATTGTCATTATTATACATATTACATATTTATATATTATAATACTGTAATTTTATATATATATATATATATGTATATATATAAATAATTGTATCAGAGTTGATGTAATTCATAGCCCCTCTTGTAATCCAGAGTCCTCAGTGCTTGCCCAGTTCCACGAGCATTTCCCTCCAAATTACTCTGGGTGATTTTCCCCGCTGGGTTTTTAACAGCCTCAAGCCTTGGAGTTTGTAACATTTCCTGTGGCACACTCAGCACTGCCCAGAAACACACCCTGAGAGCCAAACCAAACCTGCTGCTCCTTCCCCAGCTGCATTTCCTTGCATGAGCCCAAACCAAGGACCTCGTTCTGTGCCTGCCCTGCCAATATCTACTGGAGCACTCCTGCCTTGTTTGTTATCCCTGTCCCACCTGGGCTCACTCCTGCTCCCCCCTCTCACGTTATTTATGTTATTTAATAGTGCTTAAAATGGTTTCCAGCCCAATTTAGCTTCACCTTTGTTGCTGTGAGGTTTTGTGAGTTTTGGGCTTTGTGCCAGCCGTGGCACAGACTGGTCTCAGGAGATTGTGATCCCCAAAATGGTGGTCAGTGCCATCCCATGGTTCAGGTGCTTCCAGAAACTTCTTCCCAACATTTCAACCACTGCTTTATTTAAGCCCAAAAGGAAATCTGGTGGCATAACCTGCTGGGGTCTGCATGCTCAGCTCTTCTCTTATCTCAAGGTTGCTGGTGGCTCTCCAGAGGCAGCACAGCCCCTCTGCTGACCCTCCTTCCCCAGCCCCAGCCCCAGGGTGTTCTGTCCCACATGGAAAGATCTAAGGGAGAAAAAATGCACCAGCACAACCCCTGAAACAGGATCTGTGCTGCCATGCTGCACAGGAGCAGGGGGAAGGGGAAGGGCAAGGCCATGTGCTGGATCCAGGCTGGGCTGCAGGAATGAGCAGGGTGTCCCCCATCATCTCCATGCCCAGGGGCTCAGGGCACGCTTCCCCTCTCACTTCTGCCCCCATAAACTTTCATCCCACAGCTGCCAGGCATCCACAGCCTTCTCACATCTTTTATTTTATATCTTTGAGATTTTGGTTCCTGTGTTTCTCCCAGACTGAGTTACAGGCAATGTCTGAGCAGCTCATCCTAAACACAGAATTCCTGGGGCTGGCAAAGCCCTGCCAGCCCATGGAGTGCCAGCGGTGCCCCATGGGCACCCTGTCCCCAGCCCAGAGCACTCAGTGCCACCTCCAGGGGACACCTGCAGGGATGGGCACTGCAAAGTTCCCTGGGCAGCCCCTGCCAAGGCCTGAGCATCCTTGCCATGCAGAAATTTTTCCTGATATCCAACCTGAGCCTCCCCTGGCACAGCTTGAGGCCTTTACTTCTCATCCTGTCCCTGTTCCCTGCTAGAAAAGGACGACTCCCAAGTGAGAAAGCAAAATTTGCTCACTTTCTAAAGAAATAACAACAAACACAACCCACACAGGGAAAAAAAAAAAAAAAAAAAAAAAAAAAAAAAAAAAAAAAAGCTGATTTTTGATTTAATATTTGCCTGGCTCAGCCCACAGGGAACATCCAGGGCACCACTCACCTGATCGCACGGAATGTTCCTCAGCTGAGCTGTAAAGTGAGACATTTCCACCAGGCTGCTGATGTTCCTGCAGATAAAAGGTGTTGAGTTCCTGCTGCTTTCACCACTTGGCAGGAGGAGGGGAAGGCTGGTGCCCAGCAGTGAAAGTGTTACTGAGCACCAGGGGCAGCTGGAACTGCTGAGGGAGCACATGGAAAACATGACGCCGAGCAAGAGCAAGCAGGGCTAATTAACGCTGGCTGCTTAAATTAGAAAGCTTTTAATGGCTGATGTTTAAAAATAACACCTTAATGACATCTAAAAATAGCTGCTGCTGAGCCCCAGAGTGGTTTGACCTCCATTAAATTGGGGGTCCATTTCCCAGGACTCATGGTGTAAATCACATTTTCCTTCGAGGTCCTGTTCTCCCCAGGATCAGCTGCAAAGCCTCGTGCCTGACCACAGGAACCTCTTTGCAAATGCACCAGAGTGAGCTGGATCACTCCTTGGGATGGTGGGAAAGGTCCTGGGTGGGATGGGGAATTGGAGAGGATAATCTTGTGTCGTGCTCATCACGAGGGAGCGCAAAAAGGAGACTCAGGGCTGCCCCCATCGCTCTCACAGCTCCTGAAAGGGGCCTGTGCTCACCTGGGGCTGGGCTCTGTCTGCAGCAGCACTGACACACCCAGAGCACACAGCCTCGAGCTGCACCAAGGGAAACACAGGCTGGAGAGCAGGGAAAAGGTTTTTCCAGCAAGGGTGAGAAAGTTCTGGAATGGCTGCCCGGGGAGGGGGTGGAGTCCCCATCCCTGGGTGTGTTTAACAGAGCCTGGATGTGGCACTGGGGGCCAGGGTTCAGCTGGGGCTGGGCTGGACTCGATGGCCTTGAAGGTCTCTTCCAACCCAGGGATTCTGGGAATTCTGTGAGTGGGAGATTCCCAGGCCAGGCAAAAACAGGGATGAGGAAGGTGGTTCTGGGATTAAGGACACAGGTGACCCCAGCTCCATTTCCAGCTCAGTTCCCAATGTCCTGTGAGATGTCTTGAGGTGCCTCATGGTCCTGCTCTGACCCAAAACCATGTGGAGATCTCCCTGATCCTGGAGATATTCCCAGGAAAATTTCCCTGAGATCTGTGGTGTGCTTAGATCCAGATTCACCTCACAGAAAACAAATAATAATATAAAACAGTGAAGTACTGCTTAATTTTCCTTAATATGGGAATCAAACCCAAATAACCTGCAAGGCAAATATACATGAGGACTTCTTGGGTTGGGACAGAAATAAAATATCTCCAGTAGTGCTGGAGGAAACAATTTGCTCCTTTGTGCTGTGCTTGGCCCTAACTCATGGCCTGTCATATCTGTGATAGCTGAGAGAAATCTGCAGCCTGGCCTCCCCTGGAATGGTGATTTCTGATATAAAACCTTCTGTGATTTTCTCAGAATCTGCAAACAAGGTCAATTCCTTCAGCAGCCACATCAACTCAGGTGTTTTCATTTCTGTGTTACATAAAGAGAACCTGAAAGGCCAGGAGCTGGCAACAGGAGAGAAAACTCTCCTAAAACCAGGCACACTAAAGAAAAGCTGCTCTTTGCTTTGCTCTTCCCTTCCAGGCAGCAAATTCAACATCCCATTCCTGCCCATCCCATGGCAAATTCCAAATAAAGGGAATGTGTAGGAGCACAGAGTCCTCAGCCTGTGGTGTTTTCTTGCCCAGGCCACAAAATCCTTGTGCTTTTCAATTTTCCCTTTCTTTTCACAACATGCAAGGGATTGTTTTTGGAAGAAATGACCCACGCTGCAGAAAAGATGGAGAGAGACAATTTCCAAGGGCTGGAGGGACAGCACACAGGGAATGGCTTCAAACTGAAGAGGGCAGGGCTGGATGGGATCTTGGCAATGAGGAATTGTTCCCTGGCAGGGTGGGCAGGGCTGGGATGGAATTCCACCCCTGGATCCCTGGCAGTGCCCAAGGCCAGGTTGGGCATTGGGGCTGGAGCAGCCTGGGACAGTGGGAGGTGTCCCTGCCATGGACCTGGCTGATTTTTAATGTCCCTTCCAACCCAAACCATTCCATGATTTTGTTGTCAGGCAGAGAGCAGTGAAAGCCACAACAACAGAGACCAGCCCTGACTCTGATGTCACCCCAAGCACTCCAGACTCATTAGAGACAAGTCTGAGATAATGAGAACGTGGAGCAGCTTTCACTTTGCTCCCTCTGGCTCCTTCTGCTGTCCTGATGGCATTGATTATTGAATCAGATGCTTTTCCTCCCTTTTCCTGCTCAGGCCAGCTCCAGCAAGCACTTCCACTTTCTCCTCCGAGCAGGAGCTCAGCACGTGCACAGGGCTTGGCAGAGCTGGAGCCTAAACTCGTTCCTGTTTCTGAATTCCGGGCTGGATTGTGATGCAGGGGTTATTTTATATATTAAAATATCGTGTTTCTGCCCACACACATCATGCCTGATGGATAACAGAGCTGGCAAGGCAGCCACTGGAAAAGGCCACTTAGTCTGGGATTTATACAGGAGGAAGAGTTGCCATTCCTTGTTTTCCAGCTTGGATTTATACATGAAGAAACTGTGAAGGTGTTGTCCCTCAGAAGCTCCAGGATGTTTGCCTGATTCCACATTTCACCCACAACCCGAAATCATGACCTGAAACTCCCCAGATCCTAATGAAACTTATTCCCCTTTGAGTTACATTCTTGAAATGCAACCTCAAGAAATACTGGCCAGTCAGGAAAGCGACTTTAATCCAATATTTGTTATCCTCTTCCACAGGTTTTAAATCACTCTTTTTGCTCCCTACTTTGAGCAAATACACCCTTATTGTTTTTCTAGTCCTGCTGTGACCTTCTGGGAATGTTTTCATCGTGTAAAGCAACCTGCAGTTCCCTACTTTATAAATCTCTTTCATTCCAAGTGTTAACACTACCTAATTCTCCGCTTTACAGAGGAAATCATGTTTGTTTTTTTGAAGAGCCTGCTGGGAAGAGGAATATTTGCATTTCAAATATTTTTTTTCCATTTCATAAATTGTCTTGAGTTCTCTTCCCAGCGGGCAGCACAAGGCTGTTTATATAAGGGAAGAGGGAAGCTTGCTTTCCCATTACTTCCACAAAAACACGATTAACAGCGATAACTATGCTAATTATTGCCCTCGCTGCGCTTGAAACGCACCTCACTGGCTGGAGAGGCAAAGCTTTGGGGTAATAATTAACTCCTTTTTCCCTCAATTACCTTTTATTAGGAGAGCAGGAGGTGTCGGGGCGGAACAGCCGCAGATCTTCCAAGAAAACCTCGCGCCTTCCAAGGGAGCCCAAGCGGAGGCGCCTCATTAAGGGAACCCCACAGCACAAACATTCCCATGGCCAGCTGGGCCTTGGAGCTGCTCGGCTTCTCCCTCAGCCTGCTGGGCTTCATCGGGACGCTGATTGCCACCATCCTGCCGCACTGGTGGCGCTCGGCCCACGTGGGCACCAACATCCTGACGGCCGTGGCCTACCTGAAGGGGCTGTGGATGGAGTGCGTGAAGCACAGCACCGGCGTCTACCAGTGCCAGCCCCACCGCTCGCAGCTGGCGCTGCCCGCCGACCTGCGCGCCGCCCGGGCCATGATGGTCATCTCCTGCCTGCTGGCCGTGCTGGCGGCCGCCGTGGCCGTGGTGGGCATGAGGTGCACGCGCTGCGCCGAGGGCAGCCCCGCCAAGGCCTCCATGGCCGGCTCCGGCGGCGTCGGCTTCGTGGCGGCCGGCCTGCTCTGCCTGGTGCCGGTGTCGTGGTGCACCAACGAGGTGGTGGTGGATTTCTACAGCCCCACGCTGCCCACTGGGATGAAGTACGAGATAGGGCAGGCTCTCTATCTGGGCTTTGTCTCCTCGGCCCTGAGCATCCTGGGTGGGGCCCTGCTGTGCACGTCGTGGCTCGGGAATGAGGCGCTGTTCCAGCCGCGTTCCGCAGCGCCTCCATCCTCCAGGCCTCCCAGTGCCTCCAAGGGCGACCACGCTCCTTCCCTGACATCTGCGTCCCACAGCGGCTACAGACTGAGCGACTACGTGTGAGCTCTCCCTGGACCTGCCTCGGGAATTCTGTGCCTGGCACCAGAGAACTCGGAAGGGATGTTGGAGTTTACCGTTGTTCGTTCCTTCCTTTTCTTCCCCGAGGAGGAAAGGGTGTGGATGCAGAACTGCTGCCTGCAAAACCTGGGAAATAAAGGCAAAGGAGGCTGAGATATTCCCAAGGCAGCACTTCCCTGTCTACCTCCCATCGCAGCTTTCCAGGCAATTCAAGGAATATTTTGTTTAAAACTATCGTTTTGTTTGGAGCTGGTGCCCTGTGAAGCAGAACTGGCCACATCTCTTTGTTTCTTCTCCCCAAAAAAGACAGAATTTTCCCTAAAACCCAGAATTTCTTGGGGATACACAATGATTTCCAGCAGATTGCCTGCTCAGCTCCTCATTTCCATAATTCATGAACATGACAAGGTATTAATTTTGCTTTCACTTAACTTTTTGTTTGTTTTTTTTACAGTCCCTTGAAATATGAATTTCAATGGCACTGTGACAGATGCATTTGACAGCCTGTTACAGCCAATATTTGAAGTTATACTACAATGTTTTGACCTGATCAAAATAAAATTTCAGTGCATTTGTTGAAATGCATCACAAGGGAAACAAACCCTCTAAGTGGCTCAGGACTGAGTTTTTTACAAATGTCAGGAATAGAATGGAACCAGACATTTGATATTAAATATACTTTAAAAATTAAAAAGTCTAAGAATTTGTCACTTTTAGCTTTTGAGCAGATTTAGCATTCTGCACAATCTGTGCATTATGGGGAGTGGAAAAACAGTTTCTAGAATCCTATTTCATAAATCCCATGTAACGAAATGTGCTCATTTCTTAGGATGAATGCTGGTATTTTGTGCCTGAAAGTGCATCAGGGTTGGCAGGGATATTTCCATCCCTTCCAGTGATTTTTGGGGAACTTCCATTGGGGCACAAGGCACCCTCCATGGGCTGTGACCGGTGCTTGTCAAGAGTACCAAATCCAGACATTTCCTTCTAAAATCCTCACAGAATTCCATCGTTCCACAGTGCATTCAAACAATCAAAAATTAAAATAATGAGCAAAGAATCCCAGCCCTCTCCATCTCACATTACAGCAAAGTCCCAGGCACACATATTAGGATATGAAATTATGACACAAAACAGAATCAATGGATTTCTCTTAAACCAGAAATTTACAGGTCTCCCACTTTTAACAGATGGACCAACACACTGAAAGAAATAATTCCAAGACCTACGAGGCAACAATTCTTCATTTGGCAAAAGGAAAAATCTGTTTGCAATTATATTGTCACCTTGTGTCACCTCCAGAGCTGGGAGATTTTCAACATTTCCCCTGGTTCCACTCTGAATCTTCCTTTTTGTGGTTGATCACCATTGCCTTTGGCTTCGTGTTGATTTGGATTGGGACAGAGGGTTTTCAGCACTGCCTCATGTTAACATCACCACTGCTTTTAAAAATAAATGGATTTTCTAAGCAATTTGCTGAGACCAACAATAATAAAAGTGATCTGGGGCCTGACTTTGGTTATTTGTGGTGATAGGACAAGGGGGGAATGGCTTTGAACTGAAGGAGGGCAGGGCTGGGTGGGATGTTGGCAATGAGGAATCGTTCCCTGGCAGGGTGGGCAGGGCTGGGATGGAATTCCATCCCTGCATCCCTGGCAGTGCCCAAGGCCAGGCTGGACACTGGGGCTGGAGCAGCCTGGCGTGCATGTTCATAGAATCCCAGAAGGATTTGGGTTGGAAGGGACCTTAAAGTTCTCCCAGTGCCACCCCAGCCATGGCAGGGACACCTCCCACTGTCCCCAGTGTCCAGCCTGGCCTTGGGCACTGCCAGGGATGCAGGGATGGAATTCCATCCCAGCCCTGCCCACCCTGCCAGGGAACAATTCCTCATTGCCAGGATCCCACCCAGCCCTGCCCTCTGGCACTGGCAGCCATTCCCTGTGTGCTGTCCCTGCATCCCCTGGCCATTGTCTCTCTCCAGCTTTCCTGGGGCTCCTCCAGGCCCTGCAAGGCCGCCCTGAGCTCAGCCCAAAGCTTCTCCTGTGCAGGTGAGCAATGCCAGCTGTGCCAGCCTTTCCTGCCAGCAGAGCTGCTCCATCCCTCTGCCCATCCTGGAGCCTCCTCTGGGCTCTCTGCAGCAGCTCCAGCTCCTCCCTGCGCTGGACATCAGTGGAAGGTGTCCCTGTCCATGACAACTGGTTGATTTAAGGTCCCCTCCAGCCCAAATTTTGTGATCAATGACCCTGCAAACATCTCAGGGATGGACCCTGAGGTGCAGGGAATGGACACAAAGTGCACAACCGCTTCTTAGAGAAGATGGAGACCAACTGTTCATGGTCCATTATGGGTTTCAGGGATGGTTTTTTCAGCCCAGTGGAGGTGGTCAAAGCCTTGTGCTTTTCCCGCATTTCCATTCTATGGGATGTTGTCAGGTGATTGGATATCAGCCTGAGGCAGGGCTTGGACAGCCATGAATGCTGGAGCACAGCTCCAAGGGAGGAAATGGTGCTGGGTCATTAGGGGGGGTTGCCATCTACTGATAAATCCATTCCCTTGCCAGGTTGGGTGTGCTGGGAACGCTCCTGTGCAGGGCTGTTCTTACTGCAGCAATCCCAGCCAGGCAGAATGTGTGACAGGAGTAGGAACAGTTTGTAAAGTCTGGCAAAAATTCCTGGAAGTGCTCGGATGTCAATGGAGAGGGAAATGGTTTCTGTCACAGAGCTGTGAACCAGGGATCTTACTCCATGCTAAAACTGACACCAGTGTCTCTCTCTCTCTTTCTTTCTTTTTCTTTCTTTCTTTCTTTCTTTCTTTCTTTCTTTCTTTCTTTCTTTCTTTCTTTCTTTCTTTCTTTCTTTCTTTCTTTCTTTCTTTCTTTCTTTCTCTCTTTCTCTCTTTCTTTCTTTCTTTCTTTCTCTCTTTTTCTTTTTCTTTTTCTTTCCCTTTCCTCTCTCTTTTCTCCTTTCCTTTCCTTTCCTTTCCTTTCCTTTCCTTTCCTTTCCTTTCCTTTCCTTTCCTTTCCTTTCCTTTTTCCTTTCCTTGAAATTTCCTTGAAATTTCCTTTCCTTGAAATTTCCTTTCCTTTCCTTGAAATTTCCTTTCCTTGAAATTTCCTTTCCTCAAAATTTCCTTTCCTTGAAATTTCCTTTCCTTTCCTTTCCTTGAAATTTCCTTTCCTTTCCTTGAAATTTCCTTTCCTTGAAATTTCCTCTCCCTCCCCTTCTCCCTTCTCCCTTCCTTCTTTCCCTTCATTATTTCTTTCCTTCTTTGATCTACTAAAAGACATTATCCCTTCCTTGCATGCCTTGCTTTGCCATGTAACATTAATGTTCTTTTTCACTTGTAATTTTCGTAAAAATTACAAATACACCTTGGTCCCCACGTTCATTTTATCCACATTTCCTATTCTTATCACTAAAGGGGCACCTGGAGGTGTTGATTCCCAACTTAATTCAGATCATCCTTTCCAAATCTTCAGCCCATGGCATCACAAGTCATGTTTAAACCCTTCCCTGAGAATCCTGGCTGTTCTTCAGACAGTTCCCCATAAACTCAAACATCTGAATGGTTTAAAATTGACAAGAAAGGCAGGGCAGACCCAAGCTCCCTCCTTTTTCCTGGGGGAAAAGGTGGTTAATTTTATTTTCTGCTTTAAGCAGGAGGAAAAGACATTAATTTCATTAGCTCACACTGCAAAGATGTTTGGTAAGCAAACTGTTGGAAAGGGGAGTGAATCAATGCAGAGGGTTTGACCTGTTGAGAGCACATGTTCAGACTTCATAGAGATGTGTGGATATTTAAAATGCTGCAATTCCAGCTCCACTGACTCGCCTGAGGTCACCATTTCACCCATAAGCTCATTATTACTGTCAATACTCCCAAATCTATTAGAGAGCTTTTAACTAAAAGGCCTCCAGAGCAAAGAGAATCAAAGTCAGGGGGATTTTGCCCCCTCAGAGGGATGGGATGGCAAGGAAAGGCTTTTGTTGGCCATTTCACAAAGTGTTTGGTATTGAGCAGAGCAGCTGCAGCCCGTGGGATGTGTGAGGGACTTCTCCCTTCCACTGGAGTCAAGGACAAGCAATTTTATTTTAAAAATGTCATAATCACTGGTATTGATCACCAGGGGTGCTCTCAAATCCATCCAGGCCGGGGCTATCACCTCTATTGCTATCCCTGCCAGTTCCAGCCCAATTAGGCTGCCTTGCTAATGAACCTCAGCTGCTTTTCATGGCTCTCTGTGGGAGAAAAGGGATCACGGACAGAGCCATCCCAGCCTTCCACCCTGCCCTGAGCTGCCTCTTTTTTCCACTTGGTCACATTTTACCATCCCATGGAAAACACAGAGAGCAGAAGTTCTTGAAAAGAAGCCTTGAAAATCAGAGTTAAAAGTGCTTGGGAGAGGTTGTGGCTGCCCCTGGAGGCCTGGAAATGTCCAGGGCCAGGTTGGACACTGGGTTTGGAGCAGCCTGGGACAGTGGGAGGTGTCCCTGCCATGGCAGGGCTGGATGATTTTGGAGGTCTCCTCCAACCTGAATGATTCTGTGAAACACGTGGTAAAGATCAGATAAAATAACACCAGATTTGGGTTACATCATGTTTGCAAAGTCAGATCATTTTCGGCCCACTCACTCTTGAAAGGAAGCAGGGGATGAAGAATCTGGAAATGGGGACAGTTCAGTAAAATATTGAACACTGTGAACTCAGGGAATCAGCTTTGCACTTGTTGATGTTTTCTAGAGTTTTGTGGAATTGGTGCTTGCTTCCTCTAAAGGGAAAACCATCAAGCAAGCTGCCAGCAGGAGAAAAAAATATTGAGAGCAAAGGAAAGGAATTCCCATTCCCAGTGGTACCCAAGTGTTCCTTTAGCGACCTGGGCACGGAACAAACGGGGCTGTGCTGGAGCCAGAGCCCCACAGAACCCCTGGCACCAGGGGCTGGCAGATGCCCCAGCAGAGCTGCCACTGCCTCAGCCCTGGGGAGAA